CTAAGTGAATTTTGACTAATACGAACATTTCTACATTCTCTAATAAAAGTTCTGAACTGACCCAAAGCATTCATACACATAAACTAAAAGTAGCTCCTGAAAATTCCATGAGATGTAAAGAATATGAGGAAATTACCCCCATCTTCCTGGCTCACATGACTTCATATTCCAGCTGTTAGTTGGGAAACCAGGAAAAGCAATTCACAGCTGTTTGAATTCTATCTTTTTCTAATCCTCAGTAGACTGTGAACTATTCAGTTTGACTAAATTATGTCTTTGGTTGCTACATTTGTCATTCCCAAAATTATAACATCTCTCTCTCACACACACACACACACACACACACAAATTTTCACACATATGGGCTTTTTATAACTTACTGTTGGAAAGCAAGTTCATGAAAAAGATAATTCACTTTTTCTACTCTCTGAATATTACCTAATGGGAGTTATCATTCCAGATGACAACTGGAATCAGCTTACTTTTTGTTTTGTGCTGTATATTCTTCTTTCAATGGATAAAACCAAGAACTTAGAATTGCCTAAAAATTTTAAATACCCCCTTTTGAATCTATGAAGATTACCTGACTAATGTACCTTTTCAAACAGGGTCTATTGTTCTAGATCCATTTTCTATTGTTTTATGTCTCCTGGGTTACTGAGATCCTGATAGCATGTATCCTAAACCACAATTTCTCAAGGCTTAGTGTGCATTCGAGTCACGTAGAGGGCAGCTGGGCCCACCCCACTGAATCTCCATTTGTAAAAAGATTGCAGGTGATGCTGATGCTGCTGGTTCAAGAACAAGCCTGGGAGAACCACTGTTTTAAACCAACCTGAATAAGCAAGAGCACTGGACTAAGAGTCAGAAAATCTAGACTCTGATCCTAGATCTGTCACTATCTGGCTGTGTGGCCTCAGGCAAGCCAGTCAGTCTCTCTGAGATTCTATTCCCTCATTAAATGACATTTTAAAACTAAGTAACTAATAAAAATCACATATCATTTCATAATTTTATAACTCAGGCAAGATAGAGTATACTCTACCATTCCCACAGAACAATTTGCGGGGTCCATGCTTCACAGTTAACGTAGTCAATGTGTTTGAAGATTTCCCTCCATACTGTCAAGCTCTGCTGCTATACACTGTACATATGTTTCTATGCAAAATTGTGCAACAAAAATGGAGTTGCAGAACAACACTCAAAAACTTCATCAGTGTCTTACAGGAAAAAAATAAATTAGAAAACTAATAGAAAAAAGATCACACTTTCATACCCGTTAAATGATTAAGAAATGCATAAAGAGGCCAGGCACAGTGGTTCATACCTATAATCTGAGCTCTTTGGGAAGCTGAGAAATCACGGGGTCAGGAGTTCAAGACCAGCCTGGCCAAAATAGTAAAACCCCATCTCTACTAAAAATACAATGAATCAGCCAGGCATGGTGGCAGGCACCTGTAATTCCAGCTACTTGGGGGAATCTGAGGCAAGAAGAATCTCTTGAAACTGGGAGGTGGAGGTTGCAGTGACCCAAGATCACACCACTGCACTCTAACCCAACTGACAGTATGAGACTCCATCTCAAAAAGAAAAGAAATGAATAAAGACTGTAATCCATGTAGAATTTTACCTTGAAAAAGACTGAAGGTTTGCCATGGAAGTGGGCTGGGAAGGCTGACAACTGGTGAGTTTTTGTGAATTTGTGCAAGGAAGGTAATCTGAAATCAGACAGAAAGCCATCACAGCAGATGTGAATAGATGTGGATTATTGTTTTTGCTTCCAGCATTAGTACAGACACCACAGTTAAGTCATCTCTAGCAGCCTTTAATCCTGACGGATATTTCCCTGTCTTTGCAAGGCAGCTCCTTCAAGGCATGTATGTATAATATAATAGATGCTGGATCATTAAAATTGAAATTCTGATCCAATGTGCAGCCTTCCTTTTCCTTTCCTTCTCTGTCATTCCTGGAAATTCTTTGATGGCTTTCTTAACAGCACTGATAACTTTTCCCAACAGCAGAAGGCTTTGGGAATTGTAGTGATGTTGAACACTGCTACACCAACCACTGCTGGAACATAAAGGATCTGTAATAAAAGTCTTTTGCAGGATTTGGTAATTTTCATTTAAGCTCTGAATGTAGATTGTGTTTCCCTTTTGCTGGAACTCCTTGGTAATTTTAACCAAAACACTTTTATTTGTCTGGAATATTGAATGAGTTTTTTCCTTTTAGAATAGAGAAGGTCACAAATGTGAAAGAGTAGAAAAAGATAACATTTTGGATAAAGCTCTCTGGCAGATGTTTGAAATACGTGTATGTGTTTGGGGATTTGTGTATTTCTACATGGTTTGGTTTGCAGAAGAAATGTAGATAAGCAAATTCAAAATTCATGTTTGACTCAAATGATTTTCTAATTTGTCATGCACATTGAAACAAACTCATGTTTTCAAAAGAAGTGTCATAGTAAACTGACTGTACTTTTGATGACAAATATTAAAACTTAGAATCATGTCATGGGTAGAAAATTGGAAATCTACCATCATCTCTCATATGTGAGACTGAACATATTTGGGAAATGACTTCTATGAGATATTGCATTATAATTTTAATATAACTAGTCACACCTTAGACACAAATGAAAGACCTGTCACCTGGAGGTAGGGATGAAGAACAATGTCAAATGGGAACTGAACCCTGAAATTGTTGCCCGCCACTTCTTCAAGAATCTGGGTGTTGTGGTCGCCCCACATACATTAAAGTTACCAGAAGAGCCTATCACACGGTGGGGCGAGTACTGGTGTGAGGTGACGGTAAATGGGCTTGATACTGTGAGAGTGCCTATGTCTGTGGTGAACTTTGAGAGGCCCAAGACCAAAAGATACAAGTACTGGTTAGCCCAGCAAGCTGCCAAGGGCATGACCCCCACCGGCCCCCAGAAGATCTAAACCTACTTTTCCTCCAAGGCGGCAAAGCAGAATCAGGAGCGGTGGCACAGAAATGGGCAAGCACCCTGATCTCACTCCAGCTCTGACCAAATACAGAATTTTAGAGAACACCTGAAGACAGCAGACCACACTGCGTACATATGTTGAATTCTTCATTTTGCCATCTCTAACTGTCATCACTGGGGCAGTCTGGTTCCAGAAGTCCCAGGCTGTAGATTGGAGAAGCTGCGTACAATAGACCAAAACCGTCCAGATCCCGTTTAGCTTCTTCCTCCAGTGGAGTTTATTGGGACAAACAGAAGAGCCAGCCATTGTCTCCAGTACTTGCCTCATTCTCACTGAGGAAGGCCCTGACTCAAATATCCACCATGTCTATTAAAATGCTACCTGAGATAGTTTCTAAGGATACTCAACGACACAGAGACATTTCTACAAAAAAACGGAAGTTTTCAACAAAATCTGTCCCTTTTCTTCTCTTCAGTTACCTGTCAGAGAACATGGTGTTTATCTTTTTCCAAAATTTCATAAATTGAAACAAGTTTCCCTTTGATTACCCTTGTGTAAGACCTTTATAAAAATTAATTTCCCATACTTATGATGAACATTTTAATAGAATTTGAAAACATAGAAGATTTTTTTAGAAAACAGCCATAAGAAATATTAAAGATGTGGAAATACTTCCAAAAAGCATAGGAAGCATCTGTAGGGTTGACTCAGGCTCTCAGCAGAAAAGACAAAGGAACATTTTAATAAGCCTGGGATTTTTCCAAACTCTTCTCTTGATCTTACACCCCACATTCTGTACATCAAGAAATCCTATTGGTTCTATCTTCAAAATCCATCTACAATCTCATAACCTCTTACCACCCCTGTGGTAAAGTATCCTGGTCCAACCCACTACAATCATCTCCCTGGAATAAGAAACTCCTAACTAATCTTATTGCTTCTCTTTTGACCCCTTGCCCAGGCTGGTCTCAAACAATAGTCTCACTTGTCTTTAAAGTTATGCCATTGTTCCACATTTTGTTCAGGATAAGACAACTCATCTCCTATGACCCTGTCTATCTCATTACACTCCAGTCACACTGGCCTCACTGATGTTCCTGGAACATGCCAGGCATGATCCACCTCGTACCTTGAAGATTTTGCTCAAATGTCACTACCTCAAGGAAACCTACCCTGACCAGTATTTTTAAGAATGGAAAGGACTCTTAAAAACACACACACACACACACACACACCCTATTAATTCTCTTTATATTGCTCTTCCCCCAACTCCCCACAATATTTATCTCTTTTCACCAGGCCAGATAATTTACTTTTTTTTTACCATGATCATTGCATTTTCATCTCTTTTGTCCTCTAATTAGTGTGAGTGCCCTTGAAGACTGGAGTTTTTGCCGTCTCACTGATATATTAAGTATTAAGTATGTTAAGTATTAAAAACAGTACCTGGCTTATAAGATGTGCTTCCTAAATACTGAATGAATAAATCACTTTCAAGTTCATGAAAGTTAACATGAGAAAGAATTTGATCTCTTCCACTAGAGAACTTAACTTAACTTCTTTCACTGTTCTTCACTAGAGAGAAAACTGAGAGACAGAGAAAGAGAGAGAGAGAGAGAGAGAGAGAGAGAATGAATAAAAGGACAATAATTAAATAAGGAAAAGCTTTTATTGACAATAAGAGAAAGCAAAACTATTAAAATTCATTGTCAACAATCAAAATAAGCTACCTGAAGGAAATACCTTTTGATTATTCAGGTGTTTTTTGAGAGATAATATGGCTTCATTTGTTAAGTATCAGTTGAAACAAAAAACAGAAAATATGGGGTAAAATTCAGACCTCTAATACTCAATGAGTATTAGACATTGGCCACATGTCTACAGAGAGATCTCTGCTACTCACCTTCTCTTATCCTCTAAAATGATATCACTGACTCAATGTATTTGAAGAGTTTCAAACACAATTTATTTTCATTGATTCTGTCAGAGTGGGACTTAACAATCTGTATGGCATTGCGTTTTCAGCTATAGAATCCTTGATGAGGCGGTAGTTCAAGATGGCGGCGCCCAATGGCACTATGAGCGATTCGGAAAGCAGTAGCAGCAGCAGCGATGCGGAGGAGCTGGCGCGGTGCCGCGAGTCAGCAATGCAGGCCTGGGGCTTGGAGCAACGGCCGCACGGGGCAGTGAAGCCAGAAGCCGGTGCTGCAAATAACCAGTTGTCAACCTCCCAACCGAGCCTCAGGCCTAAGGTGGATGAGCATGAACAAGATGGCAACGAGCTTCAGACCACCCCCGAATTTCGAGCCTACGTAGCCAAGAAGCTGGGAGCCCTGCTGGACAGCTCCATTACCATCTCAGAAGTAGCAAAGGAGCCAACACAAGCTCAGGTACAGAAAGTCCTTCAGAGGATGATGGTTTCCGCCTTTTCTTCACGTCTGTCCCTGGAGGCCGTGAGAAGGAAGAGTCGCCCCAACCCCTCCGAAAGCGCCCTCCCTCCAGCTCCAGCAGTGAGGACGGCGATGAGCAGTGGCGGCAGTGCCGGGAGGCAGCTGTGTCGGCGTCGGACATCCTGCAGGAGTCAGCCATCCACGGCGCTGGCACAGTGGCGAAGGAGGCAAAGAAGAAAAGGAAGTTGAAAAAGAGAGCCAAGAAGGTGGCGATAGTCACCACCACCACCCCCAGCGTGGCCACAGTCCAGAAGCAGAAGTCAGGTGAGCTCACCGGGGACCAGGTGTCGCTTGGAACCAAAAAGAAGAAAAAGAAGGAAAAGGCAAAGAAGGCCAGTGAGGCCTCTCCACTCCCACCAGCAAAGAGTGCCACAGTGGTGCCTGCAAACTGAAGCCAGCTGTGGGCACAGGGCTCAGCTCCAGTGACAGGATGCCCCTGGGACAAGGCATTTCCAAGCCCCACCTCCCTCTCCAAGTTCAAAGACTGGGCTGGCAAGTCTATACTGCCCATAAGACCCTGATGGTGATGAGAGCTTGCCCAAGAGTCTGGCCAAAAAAGTGGCTTTGGGTGAGAAGCCCAAGCACGGCCTGCCATCTGTGCTCCCATGGGGGGCTGGGGGCCTGTGGTTCCAGAACATTGCATGGCCTCAGGAAAAGGAGCCTTCCGGTTATTTGAGACTAGTGGCCAAGTGGTGAAACCTCTATCTCCCTAGAACTGTCTGAGGTGGGCAGGGTAAGGGAGACCTCCTCCCCCACCACCTCCTTAGTCTGGCGTGAGAAACCATTTTTAGAAAATGAGAGAAGGGATCCCAAGATGCTAAGGCCCAGAGAAACTTCTGTTCTTCTCTCCTTAGCCCACATAGATGTCACAGAAGTGTCTGAGAAAGGAGAGATTTTTTTCACCCCTGGCTTTCTAGAATTTCCTTTGTCTGCATTTGTGAATATACCACACATGATGGTGTCTCTGAGCCGACCAGATTATGGAAACTCAATTGTTAGGGGACCCAAACAAAACTGAGAGTGAGTTGGGATTGCCTCTGTCAGTGCTGAACCTTAAGACACTTTGAATAAACATCCTCCTCCTCTGTCCCCCCCCCAACCAAGACTTCAGAAAGTGTCACAGCGCTCGTGGACTAGATTTCCTGTGACAGAGACATTCTGTAAGAGGTAGAAGCTCGCTGCCAAGCGCGATGGCTCACGCCTGAATTCCCAGCACTTTGGGAGGCCAAGAAGGGTGGATCATTTGAGGTCAGGAGTTTGAGACCAGTCTGGCAAACATGGTGAGACTCCCATCTCTACTAAAAATACAAAAATTATTCGAGACTAATTTTTAACATGGTGAAACCCTGTCTCTATTAAAAAAATACAAAAATTAAAAAAAAAAGAATCCTTGATGATAGCCCATCTCAATAAATTAAATGGAGAGTTCAAGTGCATTGATTATTCATTGTTTGAGCCAGAGGGAGGTCACATTTCCTATCACACAGAAACAGAATAACTTCTATTACTGAAATATAGTTAGAAACGTTGGGGGTTTTGTTTGGTTGGGTTTTAGTTTTTTGTTGTTTTGAGATGGAGTCTCACTCTGTCACCCAGGCTGGAGTGCAGCAGTGCAATTATGGCTCACTACAGCCTCAACCTCCCCAGGTTCAGGTGATTATCCTACCAGAGCCTCCCGAGTAGCTGGGACTTACAGGACTGTGCCATCACATCTGGCTAATATTTTTGTAGAGACAGGGTTTCACCATGTTGCCCAATCTGGTCTCTAACTCTTGGGCTCAAGAGATCTACTCTCCTCGACCTCCCAAAGTGCTAGAATTATAGGTGTGAGCCACCATGCCGAGTCAGGAAAGTTCTTTAATTAAGATTCCAATGATAGATGCAAACATTTTACATGCAAGTATTTTTGCTAGTCACAAAGGACATGAACAAAAATACACTGGTTTTAGGATTTTGTAGGTGAAAAAGTAGAATTATGTATAAACTAGTATCAGCCTGGTGATGAATAGTCTTCATATGATAGAAAGATAAATTAATACCAAAAATTATAATCCAAATTGCCATTTTAGACCAAAGCATTACAAATAACCAGACAAAAATTTAAGAAAAACAAAATGAATTTTCAAAATTCTATAAAACATTTTTTTCAAGTGGGGTTAATGTGGAAATTCAGATTAAGATAAGTAAATAAACTTAAACAGGCAATCTGAATAGTTCTACCGAACCAATAACACTCATAATAAAAGAGCTTTTCATCAGTATTACACACATGATTTCTTTGGCTTTCAGTCAGTCTTGGTTAACACAAAAGTAACCCTAAGTCTCTTCATAAATGAAATATACCTAAGTGAGGAAAAGAAAATGTTGCGAAGCTTATAAAAAATAAAAATGTGTTTCACTCTTCTAACACTTATTTAAAGAAATGGCTCTTATTTTAGAAAAATAATTAAAGAACTGTTTCAAACATATTTTTTCACAACTCTATTAAGAAAAATAATTTAGAGACTATTTCAAACATTTTCTCACAAACCTATTTAATCTACTTTTACACTGTTGGTGGGAGTGTAAATTAGTTCAACCATTATGGAAGACAATGTGGTGATTCCTCAAGGATCTAGAAATAGAAATGCCATTTGACCCAGCAATCCCATTACTGGGTGTACACCCAAAGGATTATAAAGCATTCTATTATAAAGACACATGCACATGTATGTTCATTGTGGCACTGTTTACAATTGCAAAGACCTGGAACCAATGCAAATGCTCATCAATGAGAGACTGGATAAAGAAAATGCAGCACATATACACCATGGAATACTATGCAGCCATAAAGAATAATGAGTTCATATTCTTCATAGGGACGTGGATGAATCTGGAAACCATCATTCTCAGCAAACTGACATAAGAACACAAAACCAAACACTGCATGTTCTCACTCATAGGCGAATGTTGAACAATGAGAACACAGGCCACAGGGAGGGGAACATCACACACTGGGGTCTGTGGTGGGTGGGGAGGTAGGGGAGGGACAGCAGGTGGTGGGGAGGTTGGGGAGGGATAACTTTGGGAGAAATGCCTGATTTAGGTGATGGGAAGATGGAGGCAGCAAACCACCATGGCATGTGTGTACATTTGCAAAAATCTTGCAAGATCTGCACATGTACCCCAGAACTTAATGTACAATTTTTTAAAAAAATGCTAATACTAGGTTCTACTCCTGGAGATTCCAACTTCATTGGTGTGATGTGGGACTCTCCAACAAATTATAATGTGAAGTCAAGGCTAAGAACTACTGTTGTGACTCTCCAACTTTAGAATGCAGGCAAATGATGTGCAGCTCCTGTTAAGATAAAAATCTTGGCTCTGGGGTGGGGCCTGGGATTCTGCATTTCTAGCACACATCTCCATGATGCCTGTGCTGCTAGTCTGGGGAACCTGGTTTAAGCAGCAAGATTTTATATCATAAACTACTATTAGCAGCAAGATATTAGTCATAAAAATCACAGCTGCTATTGCCCAAGTTGTGGCAATGCCAGTCAGGTCTAAGGACTCACTAGTAAGCTTACCTTGCCAATGTTACCCCAAGCTGCAAGTTGAAAGGGTTAGTCACTTCTAACCCTTCTGATACCAAATGCATGGGTGGTTTTGGTTTTCACACCAAGCAATTCTCCAATTCTTTGTGGACACTCACCAGGTGTTCTACAATTTAACTCAGTTTTCACACTAACCACTCAGAGGTAGTGTAGACTTCACAGGTTAAATGCTCAGCCCCACAAGACTGCCTTCTACTTCAGACACCAATTACAAGTAATAGGTCCCCAGGTTACCCACAGCTCTAGTCCAACTTGGCTGCAAGTTGGAGCCTCTCACGCCCTCCTCCTCAATTGGAATCATTTGCTATAATGGTTCACATAACCTAGAAGGACACTTTGCTTGCTATTACTGGTTTGTGATAAAGTATATAAGTGAACAGCCAGTGAAGAGGTACACAACGTGAGGTCCAGAAGAGTCCCAATCATAGAACCTTGTGTCTCGATGGAGTTGGAATGCACCACCCTTCTGGTACACGGATGCATTCTCCAACCCAGAAACCCTCCAAACTTCATTGTTTAGGGGTTTTATAAAGGTTCCATTATGTGGATGTGATTCATTAAATCACTGGCTATTGGCAATCAGTTCAATCTCCAGCCTCTTCTCCTCCCTGGAGGGAAGGGATACTGAAAGTTCCAATCTTCTAATCATGTCTTGGTCTTTTTAGTGACCATCCTCCATCCTCAAGTTATCTAGAGACTCTCAGTCTCCAGTCTTCTTTTAAGCATAAACTCAGGTGTGTTTGAACAGACTTTATTGTGAATAACAAAACATGTTCCCCTCACCCCACCTTATTTGCTTAATTTAAGATTGGTATATTCTAGTAAGTAGAGTTTTTATATACAAATGTCTTGGCTGATTTCATGAAGGCCACATCCCATTAGATTTTACTTTGCATTCTCTATAAAGCCTCTTCTCTTCCCTCTTAATGCATACATCTTCCAAAAGTACCACTGGGTCATCTTACCATTTGCCATTACATTGCACAGTTTAATATTTTTTATTTATTTTAATGTTTGTCTTTCCTTTCTAGACTATAAGCCATTAGGGTGAATGTAGATATCTTTCCTAGATCCAAGTTTTCAGCTTATTTAGAAAATTGTGAATACTGTACCTTCCAAAGATTTGTGGAATAGAAGATCAATATCCAGTGCTAACTATCCCCACAATTAGCATCAAATTGCTAGCCTTCAGACACAGTGCCTTAATTTCCGCACTGCTCTCCTTGAGTTGTCTTATCTAGTATGTTTCTCCAGCCTATTCCCTTGGTCCAGAGCATGAGCTTCAATTTTTGTCCTGTCTCCCTCTCCAAGAACTCTCAGCATCCTTAAAACACCATGGCTGAGTTATAATGAGTACCCTTGAGAAGAGACTGATTCTGGAGGCACATTCAGCAGTTATACTCCTTTGTTAAACATTTGATGTGCACATACTCTTTTCAATCAATAAGCAGATGAGTCTTTAACTCTAGATTTAAAAAAAATTATAAAGTTACTGTATTTTCTCTCTCCTTCCCTCAAAGAGTTTATTGTGCATATTTCCACTACTATGATCTATACTCATCAATCAGATTGTTAGATCTGAGAACTTAGGAGAGTATTTCTGTTTATTTTGACATGTATAAATTCTGTTGAATCTGACCTGAAGAATTTCTCAAATATATTCTATTTTATTTAACTAATCATCTGCTTCTCAAAATATTATTTCTTGCAATTATGCCATTGGTCAGAGAGAGGGCTATCTTTCTAGTTACCAGAATAAAACTAGAATCAGTTTTTTTTTTTTCTCTAAGTAACATTGTTTTTGCACAGCCTAGTAGCCCACGGGTAAAACAGACGAGACTTAAGGTCACCACTGGCCAGGCCTCCCAGGGGTGCCTACAGGCTTCCAGTGAAATAGACTCTACATTGAACAGCCAGGGGAAGCATTGAT